GTCATGAAATCATACAATGGAAGGATAGTGTACAAATATGCACAAAATGCAGCAAACCATGGGCGACAACCAACCACCACAAATACATTAATCTAGAAACATGGTCTCAAAAACTTAACATCCCTGTAAGTGCCATCACTACAATCCTATTAGAGAAACATTACCAAAACTATATTCATCAGCCATTAATGTTCAGATGTCTTGCTACTTCAACTAAGTAGTATAATCATATCGGTTTTTCACATAAAGAAAGCTATTATTTCTTCTACAATGTGTTGTACGAACTCCTATGCTATATGAACTAAAGGTAGTGTATACAGTTACCTATTATTTCTTTGTACTCTTTTGCCATTCAATATATGTTAAAAGTAGTCATAATAAAAACTCTCAAGCAGCTCACAGTTGCATCTAAGAGATTAATAAGATTTAAACAGTCTAATCCCTCTCAAGTTATGCTATATTGATCGTGGTCTAGTTGACTTTATAAGATGGGATCTGGGAAGGCTTTTGAGTCCTGAATTGCATGTGTGGAATTATATTTTGATAAGGATAACTGGTAGTCGCTTTGAAAAGGCTTAGAGAAAGAAATCAGCACAAAAAAGGAGTTCTAATCAGGAAAGTAATAGAGACCCAATCAATCTTAACAACAAAAGAGAAGCAGAGAAGATGTAGATAAGGAAAGAAACTCGCTTCAATCTGAGAGGAAAGAGAGGGTTGAGGTGGCAAAGGTAACTATTGAGGGCAATTTTTTCATAATAATATTAGTTTAGTTTCATGTTAATCCCTATTTGATAGCCTTTAAAGGCTTCAACCACCCATCAAATTAGATCAGCAATTGTTAGAGGCTACCATGAGGCCAATCTTTACGCATTCAATTTCTAAGATAGCCCATTCTAGAAGTTATATAGACGACAATGTATTGCATTCCCAGACAAAAACATATTAGGATCTCCATCGCTCGTTGTTGCTATAACATAAACAAATAAAGAAACAAAAAAAAAACCCAAGAACATTTTATATTGAGTGTCACTTATGATTTCAATTTATTGTCAAAAAAAATAGATATAAGCTCTAAAATTTTCAGTATGTGCAAAGTCTTACCAAGAGTAACATGGCTATTTAACAGTTTATTTAAAATTATTATTTTAACTTATCTTGGAGAGGACAAGCTTTGGTACAATGATAAGGTTCTCCTTTGTGACAATACAAGGGTTCGAGTCACCAAAACAACCTTACTATATTTAGATATTTAGAGATAAAGCTATATACAAGGACCATCCCCGGATGCCGTATTGATGGAAGCCTTGTGCACCGAATATGCCCTTTTATACTAACTTATTTTGAAGCAAATGTTTCATAACAATTGCTACAGTTCTTTATACAGCTTTACACAACTAACAAAACCATTCTACTCATTTTCACTAAGCAATAAAACTTTGCTACAAATTTAGCTAAATATTTAAATTTAATGAGCAAACTACTTCAAGTAATCTACACAATTGCTATTGTTTTAATTGCATTCATTAAAATAGGACTGATTTTTTGTAGCTGAAACATTTAACGAAGCTTTCGTTTTTCTCATGTATAACTAAAGGAATTAAGTTATCCACAATTCTCCTATACTATTGATTCAACTTATTGAAACTAATATCACATGTACCAGATCTTTACAAGACTACAGTATCTTGGAATACATATATTAACGAGAATATTCATCAGAGATGACAAAAAACTTGTTGACTAACTCCCTTTTGGTGCCAATCATTGTGATTCATGAAATGTCATTCCTATAAATATACATTTTTTCTTAGTTTAAAGTGGAAACGCTAAACCAGTTATGCCTCCTGTCAATATAAATGAATCAGTAAACATCCAAAGTCAGTTATCTGCTCCAAATACAAGTTACTTCTCTAACAGATAGAAACAGTGATATATAACCTCAGCATCTAAGTGGCATTAAAAGATCCATTATGATATATATTTCACTTGTATTTTTTCAGTCAGAATCCCATGATCCGGTGATTGATAACCATACTGACTCAATGGCTTAACAAGGGTCCTTTACATTCAAACGTTACTTATGTTTCAGTGTAAAGGCCTACCGATTCAATGGAATAGCAAGGGACCATTAGGATCACACCAATTAGAAACTTCTGCTCCTGTAAAAATATAGACCAAATAACAGTAAGGTTACAAGAGAACAAGTACCCCAAGCACATCTATTAAATAAAAACAAGGAAAAGAAGAAGTAGAACCTCTGGATTTTTGTATGCGGAAAGGTGTTGGAACAGAAGGAACATGGAGAGGAAGAGGGTGAGTACGAGTAGAACAGCACCAACGGCCGTGGCCCATATGGGTGGGGTATAAGATAATACACTCAGGTATAGTTGCTCGACAGTCTTCATCAGGTAAAACGACTCTCACCTGGCCCAATCTCCCTCTACTTCTAAGCATAACTCAAGCCAAAATAAGAGCACCAATCGATGGGCTGCAAACAAATCCAACGAGGGTCCTCAACAATGTACACCTCCCAAGATTAAACGAAAAAAGATCGCATTTGGCGACAAAGAGAGTCATCAATGCTCACTTCATCCTTCAAGATCGCAAGATCCACCCAAGTTAAGCCATCAGCAGAGATCTTCTCGCGACAATGGGAAATCCAAAGACGGGCAACAAAACATGCTAAAGCCCACAACTAATCCATTCGACCGAAACCTTGCCCCAGTATCATGAGAAAACGGACCGAGGGGAGGATTCCGGCGGTGTTGCAGACCTGTAAAACCCTAGATTCAAGGAACGAACAAACCGGAAGAATTCCAAACGGAATCAAAAACCGGATCACCCTGAACTCTAAGTTCGAAGCGAGGAGGTGAATCGACGTCGAGATGGCCGAGAGATGGCGAGGGTTGGAGGGGTGAAGCCACGGGACTTCGACCTTCGACGAAGTCGTCTTCTCCTCCGGGGGATGACAGGGCGCCGGGATGCCAATTTTGCGGTGTGACGACCGTCCGATGACCGGAGGGTGAAGCCTCGGATCGAGATCCAACGGCGGTGAATGTCGCAAGTAGTAGGTGAAACTGATGGAACAGCCGCGAGGAATGGTAGTTTAAAGTCCGCACGTGTCTTACACGTGAAACATGTGCCACATATAATAAATTGGTTATTAAAGCCAACTAATATATATAAACATAGAACTTTAAATTTACCTCTAATATTTTTTTTATCAAAGAGTTAAAATTAATTAGAGTTTCAACTAATAATTAGATGGCCGATCAATAATAATTATAAATATTATGTCCCTCCAAAGATTTTAGGCACCTACTCCTCTTGTTGATGTCCATAAACAAAGCTCAGTCAATCACTTTTTATTAATATTAAGTTATTTAAACTAATATATCAACATGAAACATTTAAATTACCATAAATATTTTTATCATCATAATAAATTTTTAAAGAGTAAATATAAATCAGAGTTTCAACTAGTGAAGATTAAAAATAATTAATGATACTTAATATCACATTGTTAACACCTTAATGATATAAGAATATATCATATCCTAATTTTTTTTTTCAAATGATTACAATATCTTTCGATAGGTACATCAAGTGGCAAATAAATAAATATTTTTTTATTTAATATACTTTTTTTTAAATATATATATATATTATAATTTATTTATAAAAAAACAAAAGTATTAATAAGCTTTATTAAGAAACAGAGTAATTTTAACTTAAAAATAAAATTTAATTGCCTCTAGCTAATAGTAGAAGAATGTCAGATCTCCTCTTGAATTCGATCTAGTACTATTTAAAATTTAAAATAAATTAAATTAATTTTAGTAATCATGAGTATGAATCTCTATAAGTCAATTATAAAATAAATATATATCCCAGAATCAATCATATTATATATCAAATATTTAAAGAAATATTTCCTTAATAAATAGAGAGATTTTAGGATGAATTCATTTTTTTCTGATATTAAATGAAAGTAAATAAATATTACACTCTAAATAACACATAGAGTAGTGCCCCTCAGCCCACTCAAGTGAGGACACATTATTGCTAGCGATAAATTGGATGGTTCATTAATTTCCGAAGAAAATTCATATATATCTTTGGCAGAAAAACAAGATTATCTCTTATATCTATATCGAAATAAAATAATATATTGTGACATCTCAATTCATATTTTAAATATTATTAATATCAAATAATATCATTTAACCTTTTAATTGACTTTGAACTCTAGCTTAAATTGATCAAATTAAACTTAATTTAATTAGAACATAACTAAATCGATTCCTAATCCTGAATCATTTGATCTAATATGGATTAAATTATGTTCAATTTAGATTAAATAAATTTGAATAAATCAAATCTAAATTGATTTGAATAAATCAATTTAGATTAAATAATTATAATATTTTTTAATTTAATTGTTTTTTAAAAATTTTAAAAAATTTAAAAAAATATTTATTTTTAGGAAAGATAAAGGAACTTACTTTCTTCCGTAGGATATAATTTATCTTTAAGCTAAGTTTTATGTTTGACGTGATGAGAAGAGAGGAATCTCTCCCCTTAAGTAAGAAGAGATAAGCTCTGATAATGTTTGTTTAAAAGATATATGATAAAAAATTCATCCAACTTGAAATATTAAATATTAAATAATTATATTTTAATTAAAGATTTTGATTATATATGACAAATGATCGTTACCTCACCTCATCCACACAACATATACTCTAAATCAATATCTTAATCGCAAAATCAAAATCTATCTTCATTATATATATATATATATATATATATATATATATATATATATATATATATATTAATAGCAAAAACGGACATTTAAACAGCCGGACAACCCCATTCCTTTGTCACGTGAGACGGGCGTGACGCGTCCCTGTACACGTCCACATCACGTGAGAAGGCCCTCCTTCCCCTTGAAGAAGATATAAAAACGAGAAAAGAGTTAACTTTTTCTCTTTTATTTCTTCTTCTTCCCCCTTTTTGATTGCGCGAATACCGTTTCCTGAAGCTTCCGATCGCTCCCTTTCCTCCCTTGCAAGCTAGAGAGAGGCCCGGTCCCCTTCCCTTTCTCGAGCCGTGCTTCTTTGATCGGGACCCGATCGTCCTTGGCCTAGGGCTATGGGCACCGACGGGGATTCCGGCCACGCAAGCGGCTCCGACACCGTCGGAGGGGCAGCCGCCGTCACCGTGCACGTCCGATCCTCGAGCGGGTCCAAGTTTTCGGTGCAGACCGCTCTCGATTCCACCGTCGCGGCCCTCAAGGCTGCCCTGGTTGAGAAGTGCAACATCCCGGTGGAGCAACAGCGGCTGATCTACAAAGGGCGGATCTTGAAGGACGAGCAGACACTGGAGAGCTACGGTGCGTCGCCTGATTTCGTGTCCTTTTGCTTTGTTCATCTCCTGTTGATCATATCTCCCTATTTATTTTGTAGATAGATGTCATTTTCAGAATTGATTGCCTGTTAACGAGAGAATCTTCCTTAAAGAGACGCGATATAGCATAAGAAATGCAAGATGTCAAAAATAATCACTAGCGGATGCGTAGAGGATGAAAGCTTTCGATGCTTTGATCAAACGTTGAACAAGAAATATATATTGAAATGAATATTTATCATGTGTCAGCGCACAACTTCAAGATGGAAATGCTTTTGGACCTTATGTTCTGTCTTGATGCCCCTTCAAATTTTTAGGATTTTCACCTCCTATCAACGGCCTCGCCTCCTTTCTTCAAGGGGTGAAGATATCCTCCCAGAGAGGCACTTCTATCATAACAAAATTGAAAGTAAAATCTCATGATCTATAAAGACCGATGGCCAAAAGGTATTTAGTGAATCGGGCTGTCTAAGGTTTATTGTTTATTATCCGCAAAGAGGATAAAGTATTTATTATGATTTTATAGAGATTCTTATTGTCTGGACCGAGCATAAATTATTAAGGACTTGGCTGTACTTACTGGTGACTTAATAAGACCTAATTTTTTGTATCCGAGCTCAACCAATCATATAAAATATTGTGTTCAATTTAGACCAATATATGGACTAGAGTTGTGGTCTTGAGCTGATAGCATGCCTCCATGATAGGTCTAATTTCTCCAATGTGAAAGATATGGAAACAAATAAAAAATTCTGGAAAATTGAACATGGGATGAAAATTCTGGTTCCTGTCATTAGCTAATAAGTGTAGAAAAATGATTGGATAGTTAGATCAATGCAATTATTTTCTGCATGAGGCTGTCGTATTATAGCTGGATTCTTGGTAGACTAGTTTATCCTGCAAGGTGGATTACATGGAGCAATTGATGTCAGATAAGTGGTTGCAGTGCATTAGAGCATGCAACTCTGGCAGATTTTAGTGTATACTCATTCTACCGGTTACTTGGTTGACAGTTCAAAACTGTTTTTAGAAATGTGAGTTATCATATATTGACATGGAAATACTTAGGTACGTATTCCAAATCTTTCAACATGTAACTGGCAAACTGGTGATATGCTGCATTTTGACCATTCTTTTTCTGTAAAGATGGAAGATGGTATTTCCTTAGGGTGTAGGGATTATCGCTTAATATTTTACTGGATGTCATAGACAATTGAGCAAGTTGGAGTCTTTTACAGTCTGTTAAGAGCAAAACAAGTTGACACATTTGTTACTGTAATTAACTTAATAATAATTGTCCTGTGACTAACTTTGTTACATTATTGAGCTGTGAGTCAGTTTTATGACATCTCTTGTTCTTTGAGAAGGAAAGGAGACAGTCAATTGGTCTTTTTAAGCTTATTCATGGTTATACTTGAGGGTAACATACATTTCAATTTAGCTATATTGCTTGTGGATCTTGTGTAAAATATGTGTATAGTGATATGTTAGTCATATATAACTGTCCACAAGGTATACAAAAAGTTAATGATGAAGCTTTGAGTGGAAGGCAAGCGGTGGTCTCAATTATATTATGTTATGAACTGGCTTGCAATGAAGTTGTTGCCACATTTTTGTCAGTACAAAAGAAGCATGCCGTAACTAAATGTGGATTAATTATTATACATCACTTAATTTGCATGAGCAAAATATCGTGAATAATTTATAGTGCAGTGAAGTACTACAAAGGAATTGGACCACAGAAGAAAACCTGACAAACAGTTTAGGGTAAAAATATTCACTAGAATTTTGAGTTGATGCAATTTTGATGAGACTGAGTTTAGGTATAGTTTTATCCTATCTGGGGTTAGTTTTAGTCTTTTATATTAGATTGCTGGCAACATTGCATAGTTGCTCCCCTAAAGTTGTGTGCCCCTCTAGATAAACAGACCTTTAAGATTATATATCATGAAAACCCTCTCTAGTGGTCTTTATTAATACTCTTCAAATTAGAAATTTTGTACATATATAAAAGAACTGGGTGTATGAATTTTTTTTTTACAAATTATAAGGGGATATCTGCTAATTTGAACTCTCATGTGTGAAAAATTGCATCTGTATTCTGTATTAGGGTACATGTGAAATTCTCTAAATTGTTATAGGCTTCTCATGCTTTTTGTTTGGTGTGCTTCGAGTTTGACCCATACTGGCATGTCAGGCCAGCAATATTTTCAGAAGAAAACAACTTAGGGAAGGAAAGGTCTGTGGTGGTGGGAAGGATTTGTATTTGCATTTGACTTTTGTACTCCTATTCTATTAGGGTCTTCCTTTATAATGTGTGCATTGGGGATTCTAGTGTTGTATGTGTGGGCATCAACTCTCTTGTTCTGTTCTCCTTTCAACAGAGTGCATCATATCCATCTTTGCCCGTTGACAGGAACTTGTATGCCAAACCACAAATTTGCTTGTGTCAGTCTTTGTTTTATTTATCTACAACTTTTTTTTTTCATTGATTTTTGAATTGTCTCCTGATTTGTTTACAAACTTGGCCAACTTGTACTGTACTGTCTGTCCAGCTAGAAACTTTGGCAAGGACATAAAAAACATAGTTATTACTACATAAAATTGTTCAAGTAGTCTTTGTTTTATTTATCTACAACTTTTTTACATTTTTGTTGATTTTGAATTGTCTCCTGATTTGTTTACAAACTGGGCCAACTTGTACTGTACTGTCCGTCCAGCAGGCTAGAAATCTTGGCAAGGACACAATAAATATAATTATTACTACATAAAATTGTTCAAGTAGATCTTTTACCACATAAAAAAACATGATAAGTTATTGTTATATGGTATGGTTGGAGCTTAAAAGTTTGTTGAATTTTTCCATAGTATCCTGCTTGATTCCTTGACATTCTTGTTACAATTGGACTTACTTGAATCCATATTGATCTAATTTTATGATGGTTGACTCCTACCTTGAAGTTGTACAGCATATTTCTTTTTTTTCATTTCTTTCATATTTAATCCTCTTGTTATTTTAGGCATCAATCATACTGGCTAACTGAGTGATTGTAAGTTGTTTATTTTCTGTTTAGTACCACCTCATTTCTTGTTAATTGTGTGGTCACCTTGTTGCTCTCTGTGCTTTAGTTAGTGACCATTAAGGCTAGATGACTGCATGGATGTGGTTGGTTCTCTTGGTCTCCATCATTCACTGGCATTATTTTAAGGCTTCCTTTTGTCTTTTGTCCTTCCTAGGGCTGGAGTCAGATCACACAATTCATTTGGTTCGTGGTTCAATACCACCAGCTGCATCTGCTGATGTGACTGTAGCTAGCAATGGAGCTTCAAGGGTTCCAAACAACACTACAGGTGTTGAGAGTGGTGGTTCTAATGAAGGTGGCCGATTTGGAGCTGATTTTGGAGGCTCGCTTTTCCCTGGCCTTGGTGTTAACAGAAGAGATGGTAGTGGTTCAGGTTTTTTGGGGTTTGGTTTACCAGATCTTAATCAGATGCAGCAGCAGCTTGCTCAAAATCCTAGCATGATGAGGGAAATAATGAATATGCCTGCCGTTCAGAGTCTGATAAATAATCCTGACCTGTTGCGAAATATGATAATGAACAATCCTCAAATGCGTGAAATCATAGACCGTAACCCTGATTTCGCACATGTCCTTAATGACCCTAGTACACTACGACAATCACTGGAAGTCATGAGGAATCCTGAACTCATGAGAGAATTAATGCGGAACACTGATAGGGCTATGAGCAACATTGAGTCATCCCCAGAAGGATTCAACATGCTTAGGCGCATGTATGAAACTGTTCAGGAGCCATTCCTGAATGCTACAACCGGAGCGGGGAACATGGGCAACGATTTGGAGCGAAACCCATTTGCTGCACTTTTGGGAAATCTGGGTGCTATGCAGGCAAGAGATCAGACACCAAACCAGTCCGTTACTGATTCCGATGCAACAAACGAAACTGCTGCACCAAACAGTAACCCACTACCAAACCCATGGGGCAGAACAGGTAAGTGATTTAATATTCTTATTTCTTCATATGGTTTATTTGTTATGTACTAAAAGTTGATGCAACAGCAGGAGGTGCACGAACTACAAACACTAGACAAGCCCCTGCAAGTGATGGAAGATCTCCAGCCATTGCGGGGTTAGGTGGGCCTGGTTTGCCAGAGTTGGAAAGGATGGCTGGTGGCATGCCGGATCCATCCTTTTTGAATCAGCTTCTGCAGAATCCAGCCATTATGCAGATGATGCAGTCCCTTCTCTCCAACCCTCAGTTTATGAATCAGGTATCTGATATATATTAGGAGTGAGACAGAGCTGTAATTTTTGCTAGTCCATGTCTGATTGTTGCTTATTATTAGGTATTGAATCAGCAACTTGGTGGCTCGTTGGGGTCCAATTCCCAACTTAGAGATATGTTGCAGAACCCAGAATTGATTCGTCAGCTTACTTCTCCTGAGATGTTGCAGGTAGCTTCATTTGCAATAATAATTTGTTTATGGTTTTCTGTTCTCAAGTCTTTATTTTTCCTCTTTGCAGCAACTTCAATCTTTTCAGCAATCACTTCTATCCCAGGTTGTTCGGCAACAGTCGAGCCAGTAAGTTATCACTTATATAAGATTGATTCCTTTTATTTTGTTATTCTGCTATTCATTAACCTTTACATATTATCACTCATCAAAATAGATAAAGTACTTATGCATGTCTAGGTTTGGTTGAGCTTGCCTTTTTCCTTTAATGTCCATGGGTGAAATCTTGTTTGATTGACTAAGATTGAAATTTGAAAAAAAAGAATGTTGTTAAGTTTCATTTTCTTTTTGATATATGAACTAGTGCAAAAGCACAATTGGAGCCGACCTTTGACTGTTTGTTGCCTTTGCACCTTAAGATGAGTTAGTTACTGGCATGCATTTCAAAATTTGATTTGTTCACCGACTTTATGCTCGTCGTTGCAGGGAACAAAATCAGAATGATGGTGGTGCAGCAGGTATGAGGAAATCATCCAATGTATCTGGTCCTTGGGGCCTCTCGATCCAATGTTCATTCACTAGATCTGTGACATGGCTTTCCATAAGATCTCATGTCTTTCTGTCTCCATGATATTTCTGCACAACGGATGCATTTTAAGTACAAGATGCATTTATCATTTTGTTTTGATGCAGGGACTACAAATACCAGTGGACTGGAGCTCCTGATGAACATGTTCGGTGGGCTTGGACCTGGTGCTGGTGTTCCTAATAACCCTGATGGTTATATGCCTTCTAGCCTGTGTCAATTAATACCAGAATATCCTTTTGCGATCGAAATCTGTATTCCAAATTTCCCAAGTGTTAAACATTTCTATGGGTCTATGTCTTGCAGTGCCACCAGAGGAACGATATGCAACACAGCTATCCCAGCTACAAGAAATGGGTTTCTTGGACACTCCAGCAAACATTCGGGCTTTGAGTGCCACTTCTGGAAATGTCCATGCGGCAGTTGATTGGCTCTTAAGGAATATTGGTGGATAGATAGTCTTCATGTTTGCTTTGCCATTTTTCCCTTAGCTCACAACTATAACGATGGTTTCAACTTCATAATTTTGCAAGGCATAATCATATATACTTTTCGAGTTGTGTAACCTATAAACGGTTATGTCTCAGTTTCAGATGTCTCTGTTGATATATATTGACTCATTGTAAATATGAATCCTAAAAAATTATTATCATTCCAACTTTTTACAGCCAGGTATTATTTTTGGTCACATATTTTGCTTGCGCATGCTTAATTATATATGCTTTGAGAATCTTCAGGCATCAAAAGAGATGCTGAAGGAAATGATCTGATCATCAAAAGCCCCTTCGTCGAGAGTGGATTGTGTTTTAATGCATATATAATTATGTAGTTTTGAGAGTGGTCTTTTGGTTTTAATGCATATATAATATCCATTATTTATGACGTATACGTTTTTATTGAAGTACATTTTATACATGTGAACTAAAGAATCAGGGACGAGAGTTTATCTTGTTGTTGCATTTAAATAAAAAAGAATTTGTTTTATTATGGTCTCAATATTTCAATAATAAAATCAAGCTACTTTTTTGCTGAGATCAGTTTGATCTTTTGCTTTGTATGCATATATATATATATATATATATATATATATATATATATATATATATATATATATATATATAATATCCGTTATTTATGTGTGATATAACCTATTGAGATTGTCGATAAGTGTCAGATTATATATATATATATATATATATATATATATATATATATATATATAATATTAACATGTTATTATTTGATTTATTTTCTAGTGCATACGTGGCATAATCGGGTTCATACATGCCGCATCATCTCCACCCACATCCATGGTGGATTGGACGCTCGCATACATGACTCTTTGCACGAACCCGCAGATAGCTTTATCTCGAGCACATCTACCCGTTCTCCCCCCTCCTCGCTTCTCTCTCTCTCTCGCGCTCTCGCTCTCGTCCCTCCAATTCTCTCTCTCGCTCTCGTCCTCCAACACCGTTCGTTCTCCTTCTACTCGTCTTTCATATCTCCCTTCTTCCTCGTATTCGCGTTCGTGTTCGATTCTTCGGCAGCCCACGATGGCCCGCATTGCTGGTGGAGTTAACGGGCGATCCAGGTGGGTTGTTCTATTCCATCCTCATGCCCTACTTTGTATCGCTTCAAATTCCTTTCTTGATGCTTTCTCGCACGAATGAGAGAGCAATTCCGCGTCCATATGGTATCCCATTATGATCGAGCCCTGTGTGATCGATGTTTCCCTGCGATAGCTCAATTGGAAATTCTCCCCCTTTGGAACCTAAAAAAGAAATATTTACCGGTGGACGGTGATGATTCCTATTTGAAAGTTCGTTGCTCTCAGGAACATCCTCTTTAGTTTCCCGTTAATTGGTGGCCTCCTTTTGGGCTGAGTCGGGGGCGGTGACAATTTCATCTAGTGCAATGTCCGTAAAGACGTTTCGTTTGGCTATCTCGCACTGCTGCAAGTTCGTGAGTTTGCTGTGAATCTTTCTTTGATCAATTACACATGGAATGAAATAGCTTCTGATTTGCACACTAGACGACAAAGACCCTATATTTACCCTTCGGGTCATGTTTTATTTCTGAAGATAGTGCTGCTGACTTAGGTTAGATGTGGTTTGTTTCTCATAACGACAGCTGAGCATAGTAGTTTTGAGTTCAATTTGTGTGCTAAATTTCAAATTTTTGGTTTTGCTTCTGCTTTATTAAGTATAGAGCCTTGTCTTGTTAACCTCTCTACCATTGCTGTTGAACTGATTTATTTTTCTCATACATTTTTTTGGAGCTTTCTGGACAATGGAATCATTGCATCAATCATCAGTGGACAGTTTGTTCGTTGTAAATTTTTATGGCTGGTCTGCATAGGCTTGGTCATGATTGATTTACTGTTTTATCATTTATAGGAATATGGTATTTGTGTGCTAGTATGTAGATGGTGTTTCTAAAATACTGTACTGGCATGTGAGGTGGTGGTATCTTGCTTGGTCTGAGATGATTCAAACTGGTTTGAGATTTGAGAGTCTTAAACAATTAAATGACGAACGAGGCACTTGTCTCATTCTAGCATGTGAGACTTGATAGAATGCAGCTTGAAAAGTTAACTGACATCTATTCCCCTTGTCTAGAGATACAATCACTTTCTGAATGCATTTGGAGAAATATGAGCTTTGATCAAGAATAGTGAAGGGGTATGAGATCTAGAAGTTGAAGGGTGAAGGAAGATCTATGTCTCATCGGAGCATGCAAGAATCAATATAATAATGCTTGTAAAGTGAAACAGAGTGAATACAAATAAGGAGGAGGAACTTAAGTGACATTGAACCTCTGTTGTTAGCTTTAAGAAATTACCATTGCTTTTGAAATGGAATTTGGAGACATGAACTTATTCTAGAAATACGAATGACTTTCTTTTTTAACTCTACAGCTAAGCGGCCTATGGAAAGGCAGAATTTCTGACCATTCACTCTTGTAAATTGGTTTTCTTGCTACCTTTTCTGCATACTTGTTCAACCTATTGAATAATATATAAAATAAATTCCTTTTGATCTTAGAGCATGCATTTCTTGTCATCAAGAAATGTATTTCTTATATTTCTATTTTGCCTTTAAACCATAATCTTTTGTCTTAGAATTTTTTTTATAAAGTGTTGCATGTATTTTCTATATTGCTATTTTGTACCTTGTCCTTGTCATCAAAGTTGGTGGAATATGAATGCTTAGATATTTGATTTATACTTCTCTCCTCTGCATAACCAATATGTATTGAAATTAAGGTAATTCTAGAATCATGGATTTGATTTTTGCAATCAACCACATTATATTATTTGTTCCAGGCTAGTTAATTTATCAGTTCTAAGAATAATCACTAGTAAACAAAATGTTGATAATTGAATGGTATAAGAAACTCTTGTGGCATGTTAGATTTGGATATTTTAGAGTAAGTTAACTTGACAGATTCGACACTAGTTGCTAGTTGGATAATGCTGGTTTATAAGATTAAGTGTTGGATATTTGAACGAAGTTAGGGGAGAAGTTATCACATTAAGATCTTTTATTATGTCAAACATATGCTCATGCCACTTTTTGTCTCAAACACGTATGCAACATGCACTATATCATTTACATCTTTTCAGAATATGCATCCAATAAGGTTATCATTCTTTTGAGAATGTCAAATCACAAATCATCCAGTATGTTTATCTTTGGCCATATCAGAGCCGGTTAGAACTTGGCTAATTGATTGATTTTAATTTGGATATCAAGTCTCATCTTCAAAAAAGTATACCTGGCACATGAGGCTACCGCCAATTTGGGGAGGGTCAACGTACACGACCTTATCTTTATATCTAAAGAAACTGTTTTAAGAGTTGAAACCCGGTCTCTTAGGTCACAAATGAGCAAGTAACAAGTTCCATCAACAGTCAAGTAACAAATCCCATATACAGAGAGCAATTTTGACCCTTTCATTTGACAAAAATGGTATCCAGTTGAATCATATGGACAAGAGTGATAAGCATTAAGATAATATCAATTTGTTTCATGTTTTAAATGTTGACTCATATGTGATTTTTGGGGTGTCACTGGAGTGGCTCCAATCCTTGTCATGAACTCAAGATTCTACTGTGTTTCTTCTGCTCAATTTTTCTCCTAGTGCTACTTGTTTCTTTAGTGGCTTCTTACTAGCAAAATTTTACTTGTAGGACAAATGATTTAGGATGTGCAAATTCAAAATAAAAAATATTAAGTACATGTATTTACAACACTTCATGCATCATGTTTTGAATGTATACTACTGGTTTCCCAAGGGATATGACTGGTCACAACCGAAGTGCCACTGGTGCAACCCAGGCCTAACTTTGGTTTAGGTTGAGTTGCAACGGATTTGAGTTTCTGTCAAATGCCGTGATTATTTCATGTGTTTTCTTTTTTGCTGTTGAAAACAAAAGTACCAACTGTGGCTTCTTAGACTCTTTTTCCTGACTCAACCAAACTTTCAGCGGGTCTCATGTACATAAGTTATCCGCTTGACATACTTCCCTGTCTATTGTTAGTTATTGTCAAAACTCGTCATAGACAATACTGTTTCATGAACAATTGAAGTTGCAATATGAGACCTGTAGCTGTGAGATCAACCAACTGCCATGTGTGGCTTCAGTTGGTATCTGTCCATGAATGCAACTTGCTATCTGATGCTGTTCAGTTATGCTGTATTGGGAGGATACATGATGCTTAATTATATCTCTGTTTATAAAAGTTTGTCCGACTTATCTTGGCCCACAATGTGATAATGACAAAGAAAAAATGGTGTTCAATCAATTTAACAATGAACCTGCTTTCAGTCTTTATGTTTGCAAATACAATTGCAACTTTTGCATATGTGACAAAAGACCAATTTATGCCCATTCATCATTTGGGGCATGGCCATCTCCCTCAGATTTTACCTTGGTGGATGGGACTTCTAAGTTCTACCAGTCTTAGTTGATGCTGTAGAGGCCAAAATTTTTTTGATCCAATTCCTCTACATTGAACTTGGGTCTTAGTTTGAGGCTTGTTTTGTACAATGAACTGGTTTGAACTTGGTTTGAGGCTCAGTTTGAGGCTTATCCAATTCCTCTACCAGACTTCTAAGGTGCCTTTGTGCTGGTTCCTTATATTATGGTGTGTCCTTCAGTTCAGACCACATGGATCTATGTATTGACAAACTAACTTGAATTGGTCATAAATTTTCATGAGCAACATTTTTAGTTATTTCAAGCAACAATTTAGTTCAATAGCCAAAAGCATGCATGTTGCTTCTAAACATGCTCCCTTAAATATCTGCAAGGCAGGAGAATACTATTTAGATTAAGACTAAAACATTACTCCATCATGAATTCTTTAATTTTTAGCTCCTTAGACCTAGAAATGGTTCCACCTTAGTAAGAAGATGATATATGTTCTCCGATTTCTTTTCTTGTGGTTGCACCATATATGAGAGATTTTGACAAGCAGTTTGCCTAAATATTGATTTGTGGAGATACCAACTGTAATACTTGAGTATCAAACTGAGACAGCTAATCTTAAGAGACAAGGTTGGTGATTGAGTTTGACTTGGCTTTACATCATTTTCACACACTTAGCTCTTTACAATGCTTATTGATCATTCCCCATATCAGGTTCTTCCTCTATACAGACATATGTAATATATATGCATATAGTTACATGTATAGCGCAAGTCTTGGCAACGTGATTAGGTTGCTCCCTTGCGACTTGAGTAATCATGATTGGAGTTACAGATAAAACCTATTTAGCTGTGGAGATAAGGGTTATTGTGCCTCCTTATATAACTGTATCAATATGTTTGCTTTTATATGTATAAATTTTTTTTGTACAATATTAAAACTTTGTAGTAAAATCTCTTAAAGGTATTCACTGTTCTATTGCATTATAATGATTTACAAATTCATTGAAACCTGATGAGTATTGGTTGCCCTGCATTTTAAGATGTTCAGACCATGATTTACTATTTTTCATACTATAGCTCTGCACTTTATTTTTCCTACATATAACTAATTCCTTTTTTTTTTTTTCCGAGTGGGACAGAGATGCCATATCTGTGGTTAAAATCTTAATATAACTTCCTTCTGTACCTCTCTATCCTATGTATGTCTTAGTATGCTCATTCTTTAAAATAATACCAGAAGTCTTTGACACAAGTTCGACAAACTTAGTGATTTTTTGTCAGTCTGACAATGGTTGTTTAATGCTGTTGCTAAGTTCCTTGTGAAGGCCATTGTTGGAAACAGAGGGACTAACATGAATGCTTAAAAGATTATTTGGTGGGTGAAAAATTTGCATTATTTTTTTGCTTCTGAAGCTTGTCTTGGAAGAAATCCTCAGAAATTGGCAAACCCTTTTTAGGTATTTGTATTATAGACACATATAAAAAGTGATTCATAGGGATATCTAGTTATTGTGTGCATGTTGAACTTCTTGATGGCAAAAGCTATTTTCAGGGCCTCTCCTGTCTGCAGATTGAGTTGATGCTGTTTGTGGCCTTAACTTTGGCTACTGACTGCTGCTTACTCACTGCTGCATTATGAAATTAATTTCTCATTATTTACACATTTCATTTTTTTCTGCTTGCTACACTTCAGTTTATTTTGGGTGAGGAACTGTCTTCACCAATAGTTCAATAGAATGATAGATAAGTTCAGCAAACACAGATTGGTCAGCGGTAGGAGTGCGATGCCAGCGGGAGACAAGAAACAAAAAGTCTCAGTGAAGAAAGTTGCTCTGAGAGAGTTGTCAAATGAATCCGGGAATATCATTAACTGGCAACCAGAAAATTTTATTCTGAAAGAAAAGGGACAAGACCCGGATTTGATTAAGGTATATGTCCCTGATTCTGCAAGATTAGCTGGATCCAAAAGGAAGCAATCCGATGGTCCAGCAAATCCTTCCAGCTCTCAGATGCCAGGCAAAATTTGTTCACATGGAAATCTCGTCTATGTTCGTAGAAGGCTTGAAACAGAACAAGCCAAGACTGGCACTTCAGGCAATGCTAATAAAGATGAATCTTCTGAATCAAGGATGTCAGAAGGCGTTGTCACGGTGGAACCAAATCCGGTTCTGAATAAAATCCAGGAACCTAAAACTGCTACTTTCGGGGGACCGTCGGATCTTAATTCTTGTGAGAAGACCAACTCTGGGTTAGTAGTTTCAGAACCACATGACTCAAGTGTTATCAGTGAAACTCCTGTAATTCACGATTCACTTAAAGTGAATAATCAAGATCGGGGAGAAAGATTCCTTCAGTTGCAGATGTTCTTAAAGAGCTGCAATCAATCCGGCCAAGAGGATTATATGCAAAGTAAGTCAACTTTTCGGTTGCTAGGTTATATATTGGTGATTTCTGATATCTTGTGTTGATAATTCAGTGCTCCGGTCCTTATCTGCTGCTGGTCGAAGTAAGCATGCTGTCGAGTTGGAGAAAAGAGCAATACACCTCTTGTTGGAGGAAGGTAATTTAGCCTTCTGTAGCCTGTGATCCATTTCTTTCTTTGAAATTACTTGTATCCATGGCTCCGCTTTCTTTGGCAGGTAAAGAATTACATCGCATGAAAGTTCTTAATGTTTTGGGCAAAGCCTCACAACAGGATCATGTGATGCAACCAGCTCATGCGTCATCGTCTTTATAATCACATTTTCAGAGATGAGAACAAGGTAAATAGTGTCAACTCAAAGAGTTAAACATGTAAAAGATGTGGATCTTTGATTTTGTAGTCTCGTGACAGTTATCTTTGCGTGGAGTTGAGAACTCTTGTTTGATCTGGAAAAGAGATGCTCCCATGTCATATAAAGAGCCTATGTAACTTTGATTTCAGTTTTTAGATGTGTATGCAACTAATAAGAGTAACATGGAATTTTGCTTGGAATTAGCAGCTGCTCTTCCTCTTCACTTGTGCGAATTGGATGAATTTGAGCACTACTTCGGTACTAAAATCGTAAGAGGATTTTTAAGTAGTGACTTGAGTCGAGACATGAAATATTTATTTTACGAGATTTTAGATGAAGTGAAATGATATTTGTTGAGATATTTGAATTGGTTAGTGTATTGTTATATAAATAATATGTCTCCGAGTTCAGACATTATATATATATATATATATATGTTATTTGATGTAATATATATTTTTATTTTTTTAAAAGTGATATTTGTTCTTTTTATTTTTAACACTCAAAAGTTGAAGTCGACTCGGTTCATCATGGTAGTATTTTTAATCATGAAATATCATAAAGAGTTGAACGATAGCCGAGAGAGAATGAGACAAAAGTAGAGAAGCTATTGGATTAAAAAAAAAAATGTTTTTTTTTCTTCCCTTAATTCGAATTTAGAATTAATGTAATAATCTCAGCTATATTACAAAACCCGACTAGTTTTATGTGATCCGATTGATGTTTTAACAAAATCGATCGAATGAGTGGATCAGATCGATCAATGCTTCGATGATCGATTTTTAGTCATCACTCGATTGATTGCCATCCTAATTTTATCAGGTTTTTCTACTCTTCCTTCCGTCTTGTGTTCTAACTCGAATTGCCACGTCCGGCGTATTGGATCGATCATACTGACCTTGCAAATTGGTGAAGATTATTGAGTGACATGTTATTCTTCGTATGATTTGAATCAAGAGATGAAAAGCTTCTTTCATGGCTCGGCATGGCTTTTGCGTCTCCTGCGATCCGTACCTTCTCGGGATTCAGGTCGTGACCCGAATCGCGTCCTGCAGCGTGTTCCGACCGACCAACGCCACGTGTTCGACGCGCTCGTTCGGTTTGACGGTCCCGCCGCCAACCGTCACACTTCAAACGGCGGATGTAACCGCCGACGGGAACACGACGCTTCGCCGAGCGACGCCACCGTACTCCATTTTCTACTTAACCCACCTACTTCTCCTCCTCTCCTTCAGCAGCAACACCGAGAACCCGATGCCCCAATGACTGTCACGGCCAACCCAGAGCCCCCCGTCCACCCCGGTGGCCTCGCGGCTGCCGGCGGAAGCGCAGGCGACGACGACGGCGACGACCCGTCAGGACACAAGCGCCTCAAACGCAACAACAACATCGACGCGAACCCCGTCTTCCCCGAAGACGATGACGACGAGGAGACTGGCGACGAGGAGGCCGGAAAGAAACCTCCTGCGCCGCTTCGTCGTCCTCCCCGCCGGCCCGAGGCTGCCGGGCCGCGGCAGTGCGACATCTGCAATAAGATCTTCAGTTCGATCAATGCGCTGCACGGGCACATGCGCAGCCACCCCTTCCGGAAGTTGCACGGCTCGGCGACGCCGTCGTCTGGGAAGCTGGATGCCGAGCAGGAGGTGGCGGACTCTTTGCTTCTGTTGTCTGGGCAGGGAGGAGCGACGCGGAAGAGAAGGTTCATCTGCAGCAGGTGCAACAGAGAGTTCGCCACCCGGCAGGCTCTCGGCGGCCACCGCGCGAGCCACAAGAGCCAGAAAGGCTGCTTTGAGAAGGCCAGAGAACTAAGAGAGTACGGCCCCAGAAGCGGGAGGAGAAGAAGGAAGAGAGGAATCAACAACGAGGGGCCGTCTGGGACCAAAATCACAGAAGCAGCAGCGGTGACATTTCCAGTGACAGCACCACCGGCAGCGCCTCGCGCAGCAACAAGAGCAGTCGAAAGGACGACGACGACGACGACGACGACGACGACGACGGTGAGGAGGGGTAGGAAGAGGAAGCTGGACCTGAACCTACTGCCGGCGTCTTCGGACGACACCAGCGGAGGCAATGGCAATGGCAATGGCAACGGCAACGGCAACGGGAGTCCGACATCCGGTGCCAAATGTTGATGAAACTGAGACAGATGCCAACTGATGAGAGTATGCCGTGACATCGTTCATCCAACATTGCAATACGCATAACTTTTCTGCTGACATTTATCACTACTTTTCTTCCAGCGTGAGATGTTTTTGTGGTGTTTCTGCTCAACATTATTATTGTGTTAAAACTCGTACTCTGTTTCTTGATTCACTAACATTCTTCAGGACGTTTATATATATGTGTGTGGTTGTTGAAATGATCGTTTGTGCTCTTCTCCATGCTAAAGTTTGCAGGCTTACGTACACGTCGTAACATGCATGCATGGCTGCTGCCGTTTACATGCACGTAACCGACGTCCAAGAATGTTCCTCTGTGCATGATGCGGTCGGACGGGGACGACGTGCTTGATTTCATGAATATTGGAGGGATTCAATTTTTGATACGTAGATGCAACTAATTTGTTGATTCGGTGAATATGTTAGGTGAGTCCGTGAGATCAATCAACCGGATTTGTCGACGAGAATATTTATGAGTAGGAGCTTCTGAGGTATGTATGATTCAGATTTGACTTTTTCTTTCTCTTCTTACATTTTTGGGGATACCTCAGAAGCTTGTTTCGTAGAGTTTATGCGAGGGATTCGCTTGGAGTACTCTCCTCGAAGGACTATCCAGAGAAGAAGCTTGACAAGGCTAGAAGGAAGGCGGCCCAGTGCGGTAGCATCAGCAAGGAGTAGCCAAATAGGACTTGGATTTGGATGATGAACGACAATGATCCGACCAGAGGTTTTATTTGGATTTGTGATTTGTATTTTGAATAGATTATATTGTAAACTAAAAATACAACAGTAGATTCGAAATAATGTTACTGCTGCATGAATAAGAATTATAATTCAGTAGTTCTAACAAGTGCCGGCAGTTTCATGCACTCTCGAATTCCCTTGACTTCGAGGATTGATTGGTTAATTGATCTTACTTTTTCGAAGAATAACAAGGAAATAGAGGAAATGTCTCGAACCACCGGTTGATCTATTATAGTACTTTGTAATTTGGCATTTATTTTTGGATCTATTAGCGTTTGATGCTGTAAGATGGATCAACATTGTCACGCTGGACTATATATAGAAGAAGAATAAGATGATCTATATTACGTTTAATGCATAAAATATGGATTCTTAGCTCTGCTGGGATTTCATGCCAGAGAAGAAGAATCCAGTAATGATATATATTTGATATCTTAAAAGCTTTGGTGATTAGCTTTTTGGTGTTTGTGGACCGTAAAAGGTTATATATATATATATATATATATATATATATAAAAGATCTTAACACACACAAGGTGACATCATCTCTTTTGATAGATACTTTACCTATGGAGAAAATAATATCTTCAAGAAAATAAATACAAAGAATGTCTCTTCTCTCTCTTGAGTTAAACTGAAGTTAGAAATCCTGTGCACACTCTCACATAAGTCAAAAAGAAATATTTATTTACTTACTAATATATATTCTTAATTAAAAATTTAATCTTAATATTGCATGTGGTTGGAATCTAACTTAGGTCTCCTACACTCCTTACCAACCCCAACCTAACACATTGAATAATAATAAATTCATCATAGTTATCATGTTCTTCCATAAATGATTCGAATCATTTTTAAAAGGAGAGAATAAATATATCTCCATCAATTCTTAACCATGTCGACAACAGCGTCTGCCAGCTAGTTTAATGCCTCAACCACAACCCAATCGGCTCTCCACTAACTTCTGTCGGCGAGTTGACCAGAACGCCATCGGCAGGGCGGCAAAAGTCAAAAAGGAAGAAAGAAAGTTGCAGCCAGCTGACCTCGCTTTGAAGCCAAGTTTTTTGCAAGAGAAAGCAAAGAAAAGCCGACGAGGAGGAGTTTGCCTTGGAGCCACGCTTCCTGGGGTCAAGCAAAGCATCATCAAGTTATCCCCATCAAGCATGTCAACCAATCGGACGGCCCGCGGCTCTCTCGTTGACTTTTTCTCCTTCCTCACCTCATTTATTATTATTATTATTATTCTAAGTCTCGAATCCCTCCATCTCCGGCCTCCTGCTTTAGAAGCACATTTTTCTTTATTTGAATTATGTATATTTCTAACTTAAGTCTACACCTACACTGTAACGAAACATATCTCATCTGATAAATATATGTAAATATAAGTCCGAAAGTTCATCCATATGTATCTGATCATCTTATCTTTAGGATAAGTTTGACATTCTCATCTGATGGTTTTTGGAATATATATTATTATTATATCAAAATGTTTGGTAGGTTCCCTGTCCAAAAGTCAACGGTGACTTGGAAGGCAGAGCACCCTGTTTGCTTTGCTGACGCGCCACACCACCCGTTCTCATCCGAAAGTCCACGCGACGAATCGAAGAAACAAACCGGGATCTAAAGGCCTCTTTTGACTTTAATTCTCGTGCTTTATTAATTTATTTTTGATTTTTCTTTTTCATGTTCTCTCCGTCTCGCCCTCGCTCATTATAAACATGTGCTCCTACTGATCTCTCCTCTCTCCGCTCTCCTCTCGCCTCTCTCCTCTCTCCTCTCCGTGGTAATATTATTATGAGGTCACTTTGGATCTGATCTCGGGGTGGCGTTCTTGATCGCGTCGTACGATGATGGCCGTCGATCTGGTGGGCCGTGGAAAGATGGACGACCTGGTGGCGCTCCAGGAGGCGACCGCCGCCGGGGTCCGCAGCTTGGAGCACCTCGTCTTCCGGCTCTCCCACCTCCCGTCGTCGCCGTCAGATTGCAGTGAAATCGCTGATACGACGATCTCCAAGTTCAAGCAGGTGATCTCCGTCCTCGACCGCACCGGGCACGCCCGCTTCCGCCGCGGACCGGCTCCCGCCACCGACGGAAGGCTGAGTCTACTCCCGGAACCGCCGAAGCCGCGTCCGCTGACGGCGCCGAGGGCCATAACCCTGGACTTTACCAGGCAGGGAGGCGACCTCCCTGGGACGTCCCTGAAGCTCGGTTTCGGCGCCTTGGCCACGACGTCGTCCACGAACTCCTCCTTCCTCTCCTCGCTCACAGGCGACGGCAGCGTCACCAACGGCAGGGTGTGGCCCTCCGTCGGGAAGCCCCCCCTCTCGTCGTCGTTCCACAAGAAGAGATGCCCCGGCTCCGGCGTTGCCGCGAGAAAGAACGCCGGCGCCGACGGCCTCTGCCACTGCTCGTCCAAGAAGAAGTAAGCCCCCGTCCCTTCGTCGTCCAGCTCAATTTAGCTATCCTCCGTCGTGATATCTAAACTGCGCCATCCGTCGTCGTCGTCGTTTCTCGTTCGTGCAGGAGATCGCGGGCGAAGAGGACGATACGCTTGGCGGCGATAAGCTCGAGGGACGCTGACATACCGCCGGATGAGCACTCGTGGCGGAAGTACGGCCAGAAGCCAATCAAGGGCTCCCCTCACCCCAGGTGACTACTTCGCTCCGCCCTCCACCACCGTCCGGTGCGTCAACCCTGGCGACGTGGCCTGATCTGACCCGTCTCGCTCTTGCGCAGGGGCTACTACAAGTGCAGCAGCGTGCGGGGGTGCCCGGCGAGGAAGCACGTGGAGCGGGCGGCCGACGACCCCTCGGTGCTCATCGTGACCTACGAGGGGGAGCACCGGCACACCCCCAACCCCGCGCCGCCCGCGTCCACGGAGGCCATCGTCGTCGGCCGCCCACGTGCTTGATTCCTTTCTTTCCTTGGTGTCAGCGTTAGCCTGTAAAAAACGATTCACGAGGAAGGAAGATTACGAGAGAAGAAGAGAAGAGAAGAGAAAGAACTCGAGAAACTTGAATTTTGACTTGTGTGGTGGGTGTGGAAAACATGTTGTCGCTTTGGAGCTGTGAATTAACGAGCTGGGTTTGATGCAGAAGACTACAACGTTGCGTCGAAAGACATGGTTGGGTGGAGCTTCCTTGGATCTGTAACGTGCAATGGCTCGAGTGGTCCTTGTTCGTCGGCGGCTCCGCTCCCACTTCTCGACTCCTTTTTGTCTGGTTGACCTCCATCACCTTGCACTCGAGGAGGATGTATTTGTTAATACATTCTGATAATTTTTGGGGATTGAAATTACGACTCCTTGTTTAATGTATACAAATATAAGGAACTCCAAGCTAAGATCAACAATCTTGTACGTCTTCCACTGTTGTTCCAATAATTGCTAGATATTTTTATTTTATAAAAAAAACATGATGGGTCCTGAAATGTATCTCATTATTCGCCCTAAAAATAAAGGTGGATGGATTAGGGATTCTTCTCGGTTTGCACTTATATATGGAATTCAAGTTAAGATGATGATGAATATTGATGGAACGAGCGCAGAGAGATGCAAGACGATGGAGGTAGTGCAGGTTTCTTTGTAAGACAGCAGTGGCAAGTGCATTGCTTGTAGCTCCTAAGCGAGGGAATCCTTGGCACACTACAAGAAGGAATCGGAATCGGAATCTAGGAATCGAAGAATAAAATTTTGAACAAGCAACTTTAGAAAATCTTCTGCAGTCCACTTTAGGCATACCATACATCAAAATTCACAGTGTTACTCGTATTTGATCATCTAAATCTTCTAATATCTTATTTCTTATAGTTAAGTTCATCCAATTATAAAGAGGTAATCAACCTACTACAGGCTGCAGTATGGAAGAGAAAACAGGACTAGTTTGCATCAACTCTACCAACTGTGTTTAGTTTGCATCAACTCTACCAACTGTGTTTCCATCATCTAAATATATACTTCGTGGCTGAATAGAAGAGCCTGCGCATTAAGGCAAAATACACAAAAAAAGAGTTAGTGTTCCTAAGAATTAGATGACTTGTGCACAGTATCAATCACACAAGTTTAGATGACCGATTATCTGAGTTAGTTGTTGATTTTGTACATCTCAAACAATATAATCCATGAAAACACAAACACACCTGTCTCCGGTGGTTGTCGGTTGACGATTAGCTTTCTTCGTCATCAGATTGCGCCTTGGTCCTCTCTCGTCTCTTCTTTACTGGTTGCGGAGATACACCTGGGAATCCACAGGAAACGTATAATTAAGTAATCATGAAAGAAAAGCATGTTCTCTTTCAATAAATTGTTAAGGTTGTCAAACTGCCTGGGATGACCAAGAAATAAAGACATTCTAAACCCTAATAACTTAGCAATCGGCAGGTAATATGATATCTGAGTAACATATTATACGACAATTAATCCTGATGTCCCAACCATTCCAGAGCAAGCTTACCGAGTAACATATCCATGTTATGATGCCATTTATGGGGTGAGATCATGAATATCTGCATTAATTTATTGATGAACACAATAAAATTAAAAATGAAAGTATTGTGAAATTATGGCATGTTTATGGGAGCTTGTCAAGTTTAACATTCATAATAACTTTGATTTAATTTTCAATTTAAGCCTCAAACAGATTTCACTCTCACAGTGTTGATCTTTGAAGATAAAAACTACACTGCCATGGAACATATACAGTTGCATGTACAACAAAAGTAATTGTCTGTACAAGAAACAATGGTCTTAAACAATCCATGTTTTCCGAATTCTAAGACTAGTACAAACAAGACTGCTAGGAAGGATTCAGAGAATCATCATGGATCAGTCTTTTATACTAATTACATTGAGCTCTAGATGCCTGAACTGGGAGCACCAGCCTCATAAGCTGAGCACAAAGCACCTAGGTAGTTGCCAATGACAACACCACCCAGTTTCTTTAGTAAAAACAACCTATATGCAGTAGAACTGACCAAACAACTCTGAGAATAGTACAAAACAGGGAGAAAAGGTCATCAAGACCAAAACTGTCACTTGGTGTCTCGAGAAACAAGTTATGGTCCCTCGTATGCAGTAACCTAAGCTTCCCAAAAAACACACTCTCGGAAGAATCTAATGATATCAAACATTGAGTTCCTTACCCATAACTAATCTATACAGGTTTCAGTCCCACTTTCCCTGTCCACATCCTTCAAGAAGAAAAGACGAAACCAAAAATAGTAGTAGTAGCAATATGTTCTTCAGTCCACCAAGCAAACATTATGCAAACAACTACTAGATTTACTCAACAATCCAAAAAACAACTTGGTGACAGCCAAATGTTTTTAAGAATTTGACAGTTGTGTAAAATAACATGCATAAAATAGCTGGTTAGTTGATTATGTTCTTATCAACCTATGCCCATAACTAATCTATACAGGTTTCAGTCCCACTTTCCTCATCCATTTCCTTCAAGTAGTAGTAGTAGTAAGTATAATATGACCTTCAGTCCACCAAAAACACATTATGCAAAAGACTACTAGATTTGCTCAACAATCCAAAAAACAACTTGGTAACAGCCAAATGTTTTTAAGAATTTGACATGCATACGATAGCTGGCTAGTTGATTATGTTCTTATCAATCTAGGTCTGTATTAAGAGAAATGATGACCAAAAGGAAGGCACCATGATCCTAGTTACTTTAGGAATTACTTGAATTCCTATAAAGTTATGACTGGAAATCTGCTGCTAATAAGATCCAAATGGACTACGATAGAATATCAGATGCAATATTTGTTACTGGTATGTTCAATAAAATCTAACTTGCTACAGAAAATCTACACTGATGTTTGCTGCAAAGAGTATCATATTCAGTTCAGCATCATATTTATGTTTAGCATTTGAACCCTATTTTTTAGGTTAAACATGTCTGAAGGGAGGTTAGAATAGTGATGTTTAACTATAGATATCACTATTTGAGATACACTGACATTATACTCAAAACTTGTTTTGCACTTCATTGGTAAATGTTCCTAATTTGCTCTCCCTCCAAGTCTATTCAGCTAAAAAATTTTCACCTCAAGCACAGTATATAGAAGCACCAACTGTAACTAATATGCCTCCTCTGAATCAATCATCCATGTCGACAGAATCTTCTATTTATTGTAATGTAACCACAACTAAAGGTTCCTCTATCCTTTAACAAAAACCTGAAGCTCTCCATATAATCCAACCTCCACAATGCAGGGAAATTGAAGTTCATTTTATAGCTTGAAGGTCAATCATTATATGGGTCGACATATTCACTCTGTCTAGAACTGGTCGCCTTTCAACCTACAGAGATGTTAAAATTTATGTAGAAACAATTGCACATCCATCAACCATTTTCCTGTAGTTTTCTTGTTTTCGAATAAACATGTTTTTATGGAAAAAGTTGTAAACTGGGATACATATCACAGAGAACAAACAATCAATATCAACAACAAACTCGTATCATAGACCACGTTTATTATGGGAAGACAGTCTGTTGTATTTGCGTGAGATAGTAAATGGAATAGCAGTCTTATACATGAACAGTATCAGTGAGACGCAAATAGTTACAACTCATGGAAAAAAAACTGTAAGAGTTCTATGTCACATGTATCCGGATGCTTTGGAACAATGCCTTAGCAACATAATGTCTACATATATTTAGAACCAATCCGGTCAAAATGACTCAAACAAATATATTTCCACAACAAGAACCTACATATATGCATAAAGAATTCACTGTAAAATCTAACAGTTCATATCACAAAAAGCTGGTTTTCTGCAACAAAACTGCATAGTAAATATGTAAAACAAGCTATCTAGCAAAAAACATAAATATCACGCAAATTGCATACATGCATTCTCTAAAAACTTGTAATACTTTCAAGACAACCTCGAATCAGTTGACTTTGGCATTAATCCATGGTAGAAGCTATGGAATTGCTATGAACAACACTAAAATTGACGCATTGATCGCATACATTAATTTTTTAGTGATTATATATTGATATTAATAATTTTAACGTCACCGACTTATTTACAACGAGTTCGAATATGAGTGACAATATATATATATATATATATATATATATATATAGACAATAATGTTTCATCACCTTCAACGAAATAAGCTGAAGAGGGCCAGCCACGATCAGTAGTGAACGACATGATCTCCTCCGCCGTCATCGGGTTGGCGAGCCTGCTGACGAGCTCCGCGACGCCACGGTGGCGATTGCGGGGCGGTACCCAGTAGGAGGAGCCAGGGAGGAAGGGTAACCAATAAGGGGCGGATCTACGGACTACGATGGCGTGGATGACGTCCTCAAGGCGGCGCATGCCGAGGACCTCCATCTCCGGGGGGAAGTCCTCCGCCTGGAGCTCCACGTCGATAAGCTGCGGCCGTTCAGAGCGGCTGCAGAGGCCGCGGAGGCCGAGAGGCGCGGCCACGGGGTGCGAGGCCCCGGCTAGGGTTCGGCCGCAGAGCAATCGCGCCATCAAAGAAGATGAGCGAAAGATCAGAGCACGAACGAGATTGGTCGAGAGAGGACCAAGGAGATAACACTATGTATATAGAGGGAGAGAGAGGCGGTGCACGTACCGTGAGAGCGTTTTAGATCCAATAAATTCATCGGATCCGGGTAACTCAGATACGGGTTTTATGTGGATCCGACCACATTATCTCACAGTACCGTGTAAGGCTACTCACATGACTATTATCGGATTAAGCTTATCAATGCGAAATAAGCAGCTACGTACACATTATCTGATACAGATCCGTAACCCGTATTCAATCGATAGCTTATAGATCCAAAACGAACACCCATTGTTTGAAATTTGGGTTAGATTCGGATCGGGTATCAGTTCCATATTATCGGGCACAGATCCAATATCGGCAATATTTTCCGGGTTATCGGGCCGAACCAACAAGCCCTCCGGTTTCAGCTGGCGCCAAACGAACCGAACTGCGGAAGCCTCAAATATCCTTCCACTCCCCCACTTCTCTTGGAGACGAAGAATGGAGAGGGCTGCTCTGCTAGGGTTTGAGTCGCCGATGAGGTTATCCACTTATCTCCCACGTTGTTTCAGATTTTGTTTAAAGATATGCGAGATTTCTCTTTTCCCCTTCAAATCTTGAATGGCTTTGATCGTGGATTGCCACAGATGGCGGGTGATCTCAGGGCTCAATCTCTGAAAGAAGAAAGGAAACGAAACCATTACTGTGCTCATGTTTGCTTCCGAGATAACCATCGCTTGGCCCAATACTTCGGTGCCGATTGGTATCTTATGATTACGTTTCTAATTGGAAATGTGTGTTTGAGGCAGTAATCTGCAGTCGAGTATGTGCCTCCAGAAAAATTAACAAGATGCATCCCTACGCTTTCAGAGGTCGAAATGTCATTCGAATTCCTTAATTTTAGTTCCACTTGTTTGAGAAATTTGTTTTTGTTTAATAAGTAATCTGTATATGTTTGTCATACTTGCTTGTGTTTCTCTTTGTTTTTAAGTTAGAACTGCTGATTTCAGCAGAGATATTTCTGATAATCTCATGCGGAAGGGATTTATATGCATTACACACAACATTATAACAACTTCAATTGAATAACGTTAAGAAGTCTCATGAATGTCATTTCTACTCTTGGCATTTCATTTGACTGTTAATAATTGGAGAAGCAATTTTTAGTCAGAAAATTAAACTGAACAATAGAGTGAATACCATGATAAACTGCCAGCCCTTTCACTCCAGCTTTGACTTTGTCATTTCTGTCCCCAACTAGATTCTGTACCCCGAGAATTGTGTCTCTCTCACACTAACCGATGACCTAAAAGATAAAAAGCTCTGCCCTAGTGATTAAGTACATAAAATTCAAGATTTTTTTTTTTTCTCTTTGGATATGGACGCCAGAGTATCTATAGATTTTGATGCTTTGCCTGAGCTTGGAGTTAATGATAATATATTTCCATGAGATCAATTGATAAGACTACAAGTTCTCAGAGTCACTATTGAAAAGCATAATATTTATTAGAAGAAAGTGCCTTTTTCTTTTTGAAATAATTAGTGGATTACCACCTGTTTGTAGAAGAATAACTTTTGGGTGCAACACTTCTTGTCCGATTGCCTTCACATATGTGCTATATGTTTGATCTTTTAAACTTAACTTTGATCATCATCTCTGTGCCACTCAATACAATAAAGTCATCCTTTAGTCAAATCCATTTATTCTGTACTTGTTTGATCGTCTGTCATCATGATCTGATGCTGGTTCAGTGTACAGTGAATAAAATTAGTTTGTAAATACGGGCTACTTATTTGAATTGTGCTTCTGTAGTTACGAGCTTCCTTAATTGTCCATTAGTGCTTCTGAAGTTCATCAGCAAGTAGAATCTTGTTGCAGATTTTTTGAAGTAATCAATTAGCATTAAAAAATTCACAATGGTGTAATCAATGAGATGTGTTACAAATTCACAAACAATGGTGGCATACCAAGTATCTTTTTTTGTTTTTGTACAAGCAGATTGCATTATATTTTTAGAACTAAGCAATTAAAACAAAAACTAAGGCCAATACAGTATGCAGAAGCTCAGTTCTTACATCATATGAATCTCTACCTTCTCAATGACAACTAAGATGCAACTCCTTTTTAATTTTTCTTTTTTGATCTTTCAGTTATTGAGGAAATGCTGTTATGCTTGGTGGCCCATGTAAAACATTGTCATTTTCTCTCCATAGGTTATACAAGATGGTGGGTAAGATATTTGTATACCAATTCAGGGGTGTTCATCTCTGGCTGATATCCAGGTATGCTTCATTTGATCATTCTGTAGAACTTTCTCAATTATTCTGCTGTATGACCTATATAAAATTTATGGAACAAGACTGAAATGATGTCTGCGATATCAATCCCTCTTTCTATCTACATAAGCGTAAGGATAAATTAGTTTAGGTGTATGTTATATGCTTATTGCAGGCAATCATGTGGCTCCTAGAAATTCATATTTGCAAATGACTTGACAAAAACATGCCTTCTTTGACTTTGAGGATGATCCGCAAGTTGCACATTGATGTGTATTCTTGTTGGAACCACATTAAGTCATTTTTCTGATTATGAGTTAATTTTGATAGATCTCACCAACACCAATGCCTTTGTTAACTTTTGTATGAGAATATGAGGGTTAAATGTCACAAAGGACAACCTGCCACAACCCTGCACTCCTGTATCTTCTCTTGAGTTGCTGCTGGCATGACATCTTTGGCTGCATTTAACTCTGTTCTTCTTTGTGTAAAGCCCAAAAGGACATCTCTTGGATCTGCCTACTTATGAGTTCATATACACAATGGAACAGTTGGTATATTGTTTGTCATGTTATCTTTTTTTATTTGCTTAGTCTTCTATAAAAGAAATAGTTTGAGATGCCTTCATAATATGGTAATGTGCTTATCTATATGTCAAGCTCTACCCCAATTTTTGTCCATAAGTCTTCCTCCTTCAAGAAGGATTTGACAAGCTTAAAAAGGAGATGTATAAAGTCTCCCTGAGTACAAGAAAAGGGCGATAGTTGCAAAAGAGCATATGATTTAGTAACCTTCAACTCAGTTGCTACTAGAATTTTCGTCATAGTGTATGAATTGAATATTGAGCAGAGAGTGCTGCAGAGTCCATCCCATCACATTAGATTATTGGACGAAGGAAATATGATTTTGTTTGAAAGCATCTGCGACGATAATGGTGGGTTTCACATTCCTCTTGCTGCACCTTTCTTATAATTTAATGATGTTCTCATATGTCCTCTGGTAATGAGCTCCAACAAATGTCCAATCTGGTGGGGGTTCAAACATCCCTACGGGCTGTCAACATGATATTAAATGCACGTTACAGTTTAAATGCAGTTATGTGCATATCATTAACTCATAAGTCAAGTTTGACATCAATTGAACTGATTGGCACTCGGCATTTGATCAAAGTGAATTAGTTTACTCATGATCAAGAGGCATTGCTCTATGTAAGTTAGTACAACAAAGAGAGCTCCCTACACATCACATTGATTTTGTTTTGAACCTTCTGGTGCCCACAACATTTTTCTGCTGGTACTTGACCTATCGAAGCTGTCTGGTAAGTCTGGTCTATGTCCGACTAGGTCCATTCCTCATAAGCATGATCTATGTCATTCTTACCTTCAAATCAAATCTAGTAGCCTGCTACAATTGCCAGAAGCACATCTACTGTGAATGAATTATCATCTCTTTGTAGTGAGTGGTTCTATGAAATGTTGGTCAATAAGTGTTTGCAAAATATATCGGACATTGGATAGTGTTTGTTCATGTGAACTTTCTAAGAATCTGCATGCATTAGCATGAAGGATAGACAAAAAACATTTTTTGGCATCCATAGTTGGGAGAAATCTGAAAGAAGTCTGGTTGCCTTCTTTGTTGCTATTTCTCCACATTTTGATCATGTGACAGTTTTTCTTTCATAAGCTTTTATCTTTTTCATGTAGGAATTATTATGTGGATTTTCCATGAGGCCAATGATGATAGGCGTTTGTCTCTTTGGACCTAAAGAAAATGTTAGGTTCTACCTCAAGGATGAGTAAAAGATAGAAAAGATAACTTGGAATTGTTTCCTGATAGTTCTTGTCAATGTTGACCATTGGTATGCTATTCTTCAGGGTTTGAACTTTGAAATGTTGGCAATGAGCATAAGGTCAAGTTGCTTGACTAAAGAAAGGTTGTGCTTTAAGCCACAGATCCTTTTAAGGAGAGACTAAAGAGATCTTCTACAGATGTTTATTTCAGGCTTTATTTGGATCCAGATATTAAATAACTTAATAAGTTAAGGATAATGTGAAGGTGGTTATCACAGGCAATCCATAATTACTTATAGTACGATCAAATTTGCGGGATGCTTTTACATAAAAGAATATAATCATGATATGGTAAAGCAACCAAGCTCTGATGATTGGAAAAAGCTTGTTTGATGAGAATGACTACGATGATGATTAATATCAAACCATTTTATTATGGTTACTTATTATTGATTATGCCTTTTTTTTAACAAAAATGATATTTAGAATGTCAAATTATCTTCTCATCAATATATTGGTTAGTTTTTTATCTTATTTGCAATGACTTTCTTTCTTGTACCATTCTGAACTTTGTTGCAGAAATTAGATTGATTTGGAATTGTGATTTATTTTTATGCATCTGCAAAACTGCTCTCGAAAGGATTTAACCAATATCAAGGCCCAATGAGCTGGTGAACTTGCGAATTTTAGAGTGAACATTAAATATAATGCTGTTACCTTTGCCTTTCCCTAAAGTAAACCTGAGGTGTTTGTGGTTGATCTGCATACCATCAAGTGATTAAATGGTTGGGTTTAGATTTCGTATTTTCATTTTTAGCATGGTCACCGACATTCTTATTTTTTGTCTTCTAATTTTCATATTTCTCTTTTATCTTCACAGAATGAATCCAGTTTCAGATAATTTACAGCAGTGAGATTAGTGTTTTTTTTTTTATCATAAAACTGT